GGTTACACCCAGCAATTTGCTGGTACTCATTGATATAGTTGGGTAGACTGTAGATAAAGTGCCTTGCTCAAAGACACAAGTGAAATGAACAGCGAAGGATTGAAACCCTGGCTTTCGAAGGTTGGGAAACTCATTTCCACTGTGCCAAACTTCAAATACTAATGAGAAATATCCTACATTACCTTTGGTTAGAGACGTTGAATGAGCCCTTGATGATGTCACAGACTTGGTTGTTTACAGTGATACTCAAAATGTTGTCTTCATCACGACCAAGGTCATTTCCTGTGACAGTGATGACTTGGAGGGTGGAAGGTGATGTTGCAAGAGTTGTTGGTGTTACCTGTAACCAATTGTTCAGTCAGTGTTAAACCCTGTCCAGACTATCACAGGGGTTCCCTTAAGGTTTTTTTTAACTAGCCAAGTGGACCAGTAAATTAATATTTTTACTGGTCCTCAATTCCTTTCACTAGCCACTATCATGCCAACTTCAAAAGGCCCAAATACCACATTTGTGACATGCTGATCATGCTGGCCATCACCGATGAAGTAACACTGACAGATACAGAAAAATCGTTCTGTTGTCTCTGTATGAAATTATGCCGCGAAATATAAATACAGGAATCTATTTGTATGTACAGTGCACTCTCACAATACGATGTTCGGTACGATGTTCGGTTTCAGGAAAGATCGGTTTGTGGAACATTTCTATTGAATCCTTTCCGAATAAGGTACTGTAGGCCAGTTACGGCCTAGCCTAGACGCTAATATAGGCTTAGCATATAGCCCAGTCAGTGAATTCAGTATGACTAGCCTACAAAAAGTTAACATATTATCTAACATATAATACATACAGTACCTGTTGTTTAGCTGTAGTGCACAGCAAATTGAATTACTGTACCAATAAATTGAATGCTTTTATATTGTTTTTACGTGCATTTTCGGTCTGACATTTTTTTCTAAACTGTAAACACAACACATTATTCACGGTCACGATGCGACTTGTTGTAAATATCAGGTCGCGCCTCCTAAACTCTGCCCGCTAATTGGTTAATTTTTTTCGTGGGGTCATGTGGCTGGGCAAAAATCCCATGTGCTTGGCTGTCATGACGTCAGTCAGATCGCCCAAAGTTTCATAGTGCGTGACAGCTTGCTGAATTTTTAATTAAACAAATTTATTAAAATAAATAAGAAACCTGTTTTAGAGTCAAATCTAAAATAAATCTAACAAATTTAAATTTCATTCTCTGCAAATTTCCTCCGTTTAGCAATGTTTTTGGGGAATGTGAGTGTAATTTACATGTAGACTGATATATGAATCTAATGAAATACCAAATCCGAATTAAATGTCTGCTGAAAAAGAGCCGTCGTAGAAACAATTGCTTTGAGTTCCTTTTTCATTTCAGGTTGAATCGATTTTTAAGTATTCATAAGGCACTTTATTAAAACAATGGAAGGCATAACTATCACTTTATCTAACGTTTTACTGCTGTGTCATTTTAATTAATAGATAATCTCCATGACAATGCTATTGGGACTATACTCTGTACGAACAGTTCATTCACAGTATTTCGTCCGGAAATCGTTGCGTTGTTTATTAACTTTTGTCCCACGTTGCATTGTGGGATGGATACATGACATGGATGTTTTAACTTCACTTCACGGTGCTCACACAGACGGAAATCAACTTCTCCTTGTCGCTGTAACATGCGGAGAAGGTGATTTGCCTCTGTACGTCTAGCCATGGATTGCTCCATGGCCTAGCTACTGCGTGATGTTCATCTACTCGCTTTGAATGACTGAGCCCAAGGCTGTTCGTAGCTGACATTAACATGACAATAAACAGAAAATAGCGATCTTGTTGACATTATCTGTGTGAAATATTTTGTAAAGACATCATTAAGAGGTGAATGAGTAAAACTTTAGGTATTTTGTCAGACTTTCATTGAAATTTTAACTGGTCATGCGGACTTGTTATTGGGATAATTAACAGGCCCACCATGCATTTTACTAGCCACTGGCCGGCAGACCAGCGTTATTTCGAACCCTGTATCAAATTTTATTTGTTGAAAACATGTGACATGCCTAAATATGGTCATGATGATATCACATCATGACCATATATAGGCACATCATGACCATACAGTATGTAGGTGCATCATGACTAATGGGCATATACCAGATTTTTGTCAAAGTGAATCCACCACTTATGTCGACAAAAACATAATGAACCTTTCAGGATTGTTAAACTTAACAACTGACATTAGAACAGGGTCTGGAATACATGTTTGTGCCACAAATAAATGTATTTATATTTTGAAAATAATTGAGGTCAAAATAAAGTTCGCATTTACTTGCGAGCTTTGAGGTAAGTGTGTCTACACAGCGCTACTCCAAGCGCGTATTCCTTATCTTCCTTGTGTAGTAGCACACTTACTCCTGAGACTGCTCAGGAGTAAATCTTCTGCAGTAAGGTTAAAGTAACTTAATACAAAAAGCGTCTTCACAGGCACTACCCAGGGCTTATGACAAGTAAACTGCTACTACTTCAAAGCTTACTTCTGAATCATGCTTTTAGTTATGTCAAGGAGTGAGGCTTAGCGGAACGGTTTATCAGTGTGAATCCGGCCTACCTCAGTCACTTCAGGCGCTCCACAAACATGACTCGGTTCAGTACAACTACCGTTGTATTTACAGGTAGAATCCTCGCACCACACACACTCTAGATCCACTTCTGTGACATATTCCGACAAGCAGCGACTACAATCAGGACGATTTACTGCACATTTATACAGATCCACTGGAAAGAGAATTATGCAATAGGATGAGTAACTACAGTACTATACAAATTAACGATTCAAACCCAAGACTACCCATTGGATACTCCACCAACTGAGTCATGAGGCTAAGTGATTTATTATATTTTCTATATATTTTTATTGCAATTTTCGCCTGTCAGTGGGAACGAAGAGTTCCTGTTGGACGATTGAAATAAAATAAAATAAAATAAATAAAATACACACTAGGATTTTCCCATTAGGACACATTTTTTACTCAAGGTACTGCATACAGTAATACACAATGAAAACTTTACAAATTAGCAGTGATGTTGGTAGTCTATGAGTGACATACTTGACATTTGGAATGTCAGTTTACTATTTGGAACTTAACTTGAAAATAATGAAATTGTCTGAATTAAGTGTGCATAAAAGAAATTGTTATTATGTAACAGACATCATTTTTGCTTGAAAGTATCATAGATCTTTAGAAAGGGGTACAAACCTTATGCATAGAATTGGAAGAAGTGATATGAAAAGATGGGCAAGTGTAAAAAAGAAACCGGCATGTATTGGTTAACGTGGACAAAGGTTATTATATGCCACACATGGGTGTAGGCTGGCAGGTGTGGGAGAATAGACAAGTCACCACCAACCTCCTATCTACATGTCTATATACATTACCAAACCCGACATGAACGTGTTCAGACCTAGGCCTAGCATTACTGGTTGCACTGCTATCAGTTTCTATTGAAATCTTTCTTCAGAATCATATTCAGGGTTATTTATTATGTAATCAATATTCTCCTTCAGCTATTCTCGTCTATTCAAGTACATCACTCACTAACAGAAAAAAATTGCTGATTTTTTCTCCATACGATCATGTCTACTTACTATGGCATTAGGGGAATCCCCTAAAAAGAGTCAACAACAAATAGAAGCATTACTAAAACAAGCAGGAAAATCATGCCGTACTATATACGGGTCTACCATCCTGGGACACTAAATTATCCCGTACGGGATACAGGTCACGACCTCAAAGGGGCAAATATTGCAAAATAATTTATAATTTTTTACTCACAAGTATATTCATTATCAATGGTGTTACCGTCCCACGATATTCTCATGGCAACGCTTAATTCTTCGACGTTCTTATTGTAATTGTACTGTAATGATAAGTTATAAATGTAATAATTACATGGAGAGTGGGCAGGTCTCTGTCACATTAGTATGCCCTTCATTCATTCTTGAAAACTAAAACTGTTATTTATTCACTTTCATTACCACTGCCAAGAAGGTTATGTATACATGTCTGTCTGTGTGTTGGGATGTCTTTCAGTCTGTTAGCAAGATTATGCAAAAACTAAAGAATGAATCATCATAAAATTTACTGAAATTGTACACAATAATCAATGAAAGACACCATTCAATTTTTGGAAGAAAGGGTAAAAGGACAAAGTCACGGTCATGAAAATTCATTGTTTACCCTCGAGCATAAAAGAAAATAATGGAATAGGCACTTTTATTCAGGCAGCACATAAGATAAGCGATTCCATTATTTTCTTGAGGGTATGCTGCAGTTTCGGTCATCATATACAGCCTGTGTATTGTTGGTATTCAGGCACAGGGTGGAGGTATGTACTATATGGAGTGACTGCTCTAGTTGTTATTAATTCTTTTTTTTCATTAATCTTACCACTGTTGAATCACAAGAAACAAAGTCTTCTACTAGAGTTGCTGAAATTTCCATCATGTTTTCTTCTATTTCTACATTGCATTTGTAATTCTAAATTTTTAAAATGTAAAAATATTTATATTACATAAAAACATCTAAATAAACATAAAAAATATCAAAATAAATATTGAAACGAGTGAGAGCATTTTACAACTGTTGAAGTGTTTTTTTTGCCGCACCATTACCATAACTCACAGGCCATACTGGACTGTGAGTTAAAAAACAATAAAAGTAATATTAACAAACAACAGAAGTAAATATTAAATTACATCAAAATACACATCATATTCATTTAAATGCATAAAAAAAATATAAAAATCAACATTAAAACATAAAATATCAAATATATTTTTTTATCAAAATTTTAAAATCATAAGTATATCTTGAAATAAACATTTTAAAATATCAAAATAAACATTCAATTTATATTTAAAACACAATCAGAAATATATCTAATACACAAAATAAAATAATTGAAAAAAATAATGAAAGCAAAGCAAAAACAATACATATTCAACATTCAACAAAATCAATAGGTGGTTTTTAATATAATACTAATTGTATCTTTAAGATTTTTAAATAATAACCTTTAGTCTTACATTAGGCCATATAAAATTAATTTCTAGTTTCACGTCCCCGGCCTCATTAAATTTTGGAGCCTCATGAAAAAATATACTATTTGCTATTTTTCAAAAAAACATTCATTTTTCCATGGACAATAAAAATAATGACTATCTGAAAGAAAGATGTTAAGCCTAAGAATAGGTGGGAACATAAATAGCAAATACATTACAAAGATTCATTTTATTTCTTTTATAAAAATTTAAAAAAAACTATTTTTACTATTTACCAGCTTTTACCATTAGTGTATATGATAGTAAATAGTAAATACTCTCCCTACAAAATGATTTTAAATTCCTGGTACATGAAACTAACAATTAATTTTATTTGGCCTTAAGTTGAAATTGAAAGCTTTTTTTACATTACTGTAAAGCTTAATAATAATAATAATAATAATAATAATTTTGGCTTATATAGCGCATTAATGTAACAAATTGGCCATATATGGGTGTAATATGGGATATCATCACTTGATAGTGTTGACCAAGTTTTACAGTTCTTTATTGGTATACTGAGGAAATGATCTACATTAATAGTAAAAACAGCAATGACGTGTAATACCTTTCCTTTTGGAAGATTAAGTGTTTCAATAACAATGTCCTTTTCGAAGTTAACAGGAACTAATTTTGTGCCTCTGATTATCTGTGGGCAGTATGTTTGGTTCTACAGAAGGAAATGATAAATAGTACATCACAAAGCCATAACAATATTCATTAGTCTTCAATTGGAAATTAATTTATAACCATCAAAAAGAGATTATGATATAATTTATAATTATCACATAATGCTGTTAATATTAACTATTGTAACCCATCTAATTAAAGAACATCTCAAATTAAAGACCGTTTTACTGTGGTCCCAAATAAAGAAAAGTCTTTTATCTTTATTATATTTTAATTATAGAACAAAGCTGCTAAACACCATGGAAATTCCGGTCCCAAAAGTGGTCTTTAATTGGAGTAAAACCTGTATTTACTTTCATGGCAATGCATCATTATTAAGTCCAGCAGTGTTTAAACATTGTCCGCTTTTGTGTATTTGTCTATGAACAGCCTATAGTCCACAGTTTTTTATCAGAAACTCTTCAAACTTGGTCATAATGACCTATGGCCACAGATCTTGAAGAGATTAACTTTTGAAGGATAAAGGTCAAGGTCACAATCAATGAAATCTACTTTTTATATATAACAGCCTACAGCCTACGATTTTTATCAGACACTCTTGAAACTTGGTCACAATTATCAATGACCAAACATCTAGGTGATTTTTGAAAGTTCAAGATCACAGGTCAAGGTCAGAATAATTGAAATACTACTTTTTTCATATGACAGCCTACAGCTGAAAATTGTTATCAGAAATCCATAAACCTTGGTCACAGTGTTCATTGACCAACAATCTACACCCAATTAAATTTTGAAGGGTCAAGGCCAAGGGTCAAGGTCATAATCCATGAAAACAACATTTTATATATAACAGTCTACAGCCAACAACTGTTATCAGAAGAGGGTGCTCTCAGAGTGCCCCCTAGTTTATCGCTTATTGTCCTTTAAAATTAGGATAGTCAATTAGTTGCATTTTAATGTAGTAATTTTGGAGTGGAGTTGAATAGATTAGTGGTTAAGATGCTTGCTTCCTAATCCCAGGATCATGGGTTCAATTCCTGTTACAGCAGGACTTTTTCTCACAACTTAACACAACTCCAGTCCCCAGGCCTCAATAAGAGACTTAATTTATAAAGCATCCATCCTGTAACTGATGAGTGTACTTGCTGTTTTCTTTTAGTTTTTTTTTCTTTTAAATATAATAAAACAGTATTTTTGTCTAATGTTTAATTTGTTTTTATTCCTCTATCAGCTTCACACACACACACACACACACACACACACTATTAATTGTTGTGTATATCTGTACAGACAATTTGATTAATGATTTAAATAGAAAGGTATTTTTATTGGATTGATCAATCAATCAATATATGACAATACATATTTATACATCTCTACAGACAAGTTAACTGATTGATTTAAATAGAAAAATAATTTGATTGGATAGCTGAATCTCACCTGGTGTTCTACAAGAACATCGTTTTGCATACACTGCCCCGATTTGCATACATTATCTCCAATACACCACCTGCATGCTGCCCATGAACTGTTGACACATTCAGAACACCTGAAAGAAAATTTAAAAAAGAAAACAAATTAGGCCTATCCCAATTTCACCAAAATCAGAAAGTTTTGAATTTAAATTCAAATTGGATTGGATTGGATTGGATTTATTCAAGGATAGCCCACGAAAGTCTTTTTTCCAGTGGGGTATTTCTGGTGGTGATTGATAATATATTTTATCTAAAAAGGATTTAATTGAAGATTCCTGAATTATCTTAACGTTGATGCATTATATATATGCCTGGGTTTGATGATTCCATTATTTTTCATGGGTACATTTCATTAGGATTCTGGCTTATCGGTACATCCAAGTATGTATTCATGACATAGTTTATGATACTTCAATTATTTTAAAGGGAATTGGGTTATCTTTAAAAAAATTTGACCAATTTTTAGAGAGGGTGGTATGTTTATACCAGAAGAATCAATTGCATTCAAATGGCATTTTTTCAGCACTATATGAATAATAATAATTTTTCTGGGAATATTTGTAAAAGTCTTACCCTGGGCTTTTGCCCGAGGATAGGCTGGTATGTAGTTAATTGAGCGTAAATTAAGGGTGGGCTTTTCCCCTGAGATGGGCTTTTATCTGAAGAACTAAGGTATAATGTAATATTCATCTTAATTGTTAAGCCATTTTTCCGATTGCAACACAAATTATTTCAGCTTATGGCTACTGTTGAATAATGCAATACATACATGCTATAAAGTACCTGAATATATAATACCCACTTGCTATTTTGCTGAACTGTCAAGTAGTACCGTAGTTCCTGGTTTAAATTTTAACCTTTAGGTCTGTGACTCACATGAAAGTATTTGTAAATACTGTAATGTTAATTTACCCTTTTCACAGCACAAACAAAGAAAGCAAATATAAGAACTAAGAATCAAAATATTATTATCAAGGAAGTAATGTTATAAAAAAAACACAACACTTGATATACCAAACTAATAATATTCAGTAACAGTGTTCTCCAAAAGCCATTTTAACCGTCAGTTTTACTGGTAAAAATAACTGGCCAACCAGTAAAAATTCTGAAATTGTAAAATAATAAAACTACTGATTAGGCCTAGGTAGTCTAGACTGGCCTTCTTTCAATAACTGAACATCATTCCAGTCTATACCTAGACAATGACTATATATATTCTTGTATTTTCAAGTCGTTAAACCCCCACTCAAAAGGGATAACGCCTGCGTGCATAGCTGAATTTTTATGGACAAATTTACCAGTAAAAATGTTTCAAATGGGAGAAAGAACACTGAGTAATAACAATAAAATATATAAGACTTACATAGCGCTTCATGCCAGCAGGCTTTTAAGCGCTTCACATTTTTCCAGCAAAGAATCCTAAAGAGAATGTGAACGTGGGGTCCAGGAGGCTAAGCCTCTGGTGCTTTTAGCAACTGGACAATTTTAGCTTCCTGCATTTAACTACAACATTAGCTTGTCTACCCTTGCCATTTCATGGTATGCGATTTGCTATAAAATTTTCTGATCGTTTTTGATCGAATTATTTATTATTGTTAATTATGGATTATTGTTGGCTCTGTTTGTTCATTGGCTTCCCTTTTTAGTCCACTTTAATTCTGAATATGTAAATTTGGTAGTTGGTTAATTTTAAAAGGGGGCTCCGGGTTTAAAATTTCTATTAAAATATGCATATGTATAAGTAAGTGCATTGAACTTACTTTTAATTGAAAATGTGCCATTAAAGTTATTATTATTATTATTATTATTATTAACAATAATAATAATAATAATAATAATAATAATAATAATACTATCATTAATAATATTTAGCTAACCAATATGTTTACTGTATTGTTAAAATTATACAATTTTACATGTATAATTTTGGAATGATATTTGATGACCAAGACAAATATTATAAAACTTGGCAATTTGTAAAAAATGTAACTAAAATGTTGGTCTCTTGCAATTATAATAATACTACTTATTTTTTGTCAACTTATATTGTTTAAATTATCAATTTAATTTTTACATCCAATTTTGTAAATGATAATTGATACCAAGACATATATTTTAAAACTTACCAATTGTAAATAATGTATCTGAAAACTGATTTTACAATTGCTTGAAAATTTACTTTATAGTTTTCTAATCATATAAAAAGTTGATTCTAAATCATCTATTTTCTCACATGTGTTATATACTGTGAACTCTATCTTTTGGAAGATAAACAGAGCTTGAAATAACACTATAATAAGCATTCTCCATTTTGATTTGTACATTATTTAGTACCAACCACAGGTTTGTAAAAATAAAATAGTTACTCATCCTTCACGAAATATACTGTATGGTATTTTGGCAACAATAATACAGCCCTTTCAAAGAAAATCCCTACTTAACTTTCAAGCATTTACTTCCTTATATATTAACAATACTGTAAACACCAAATGACTGTTATTCCATATAACTTCCTGTAATAATATCTACTTCACAATTTGTGGTTCTTGCCAAAGTAGAGTGTGAAGTCAATAACTGACATTAATCATAATTCAATTTGTCTACAGTCCATTATTCTATGCTTCTTGAAAATGGAAAAATCCTTAGTCTTCCTTTCTGTGATTGGCTGTGATGCCTTTATTTTTGTACCAGTGAGGGTATTAAATGTTCTAAATTTAAGGAGCATTTAATTGTAATTTTTAATAAGATATAAATTCTATTTATTACCCTTTTGTAATGTATTTCCTCATCATACATTACAGTGAATAGTACTATCTTTAAAAAAAAAATTTAAAAAAAAACAATATTAACATCTGTATGAAAAATTATCCTGGGAAGAACAAATAAATATTTAAACAGCACTCCCGCTGACTCTGCAATTTTAATGCTTTTACTTGTATTTTAATAATACGGCTAACCTAACAACAACTAGATTTACTATGATTTACATTAACAACAGATCACAGGGGTCTTCCTTATTTGATATAAACGAAATGTTTGCAATAAATGATGAAATCACTGTGGTTTTATGATGAATGTGCTTATTTCTCAAAAGCTTAATTTCCACACAATCGTCGACAGCTTTTGGGAATGCTGATTGGTCGGTCAAATCGGGGAGCTTCGCGATAGCGTTGGGGACTGGTATGCAGAATATACTGATTGCACTGAAAATAATGTAGCGACAGTGTAGCGATTTTAAGGAAACCAGGCTTTGCGTCCTGTTCAGACTAGCAAATTTTATTTGACAAAAACATGACATGCCTAAATATGGTCATGCTGACATCACATCATGACCATGTAAATGCACATCATGAATGATGCAAGCATTGGGTTTTTTTTTTATAATAATAAAATAAATAATAATAATAATAAATAAGGTCCTTATTTCTTAAAGCCCTGTCCAGACTATCAAATTTTATTTGACAAAAACATGTGACATGCCTAAATATGGTCATGATGACATCACATCATGACCATATATAGGCACATCATGACTGTATATGGGCATACAACAGTGTGGACAAAGCTTTACAATACATTAAAAAATATTGTTATTGCTACCAGACCTTATAAATTACAAGATTTACAATACATTACTGCGAATACAATACTGAGAATTCCGCTTGCAAATTCTGTATTAAATAATGCAGTGCATGGTGCCCTCTTTCAAATGTGGTTACTTTTCAACTTTGATATCAGAGGTCATTAACTAAAGATAGCACATCTGTATGCAAATTCTACAATAGCCATGGTAACAACTAGGACGCCCTCTCTCAAAAGTAATTACAGCCTGGTTCTCACGAGAGCACTAGTATCCGGATCGGATACTAACCATTAGCACCTGTATGAGAACGCCCGATTGGTTAGAGTTAACCGTTAGCGGTATACGGAAACCGTAACGGTTAGCAAGCGCTATTGGTTAGCACGTTGAGCTTATTTCTATCATCAACCAATCACACGTACGCATTTATAATTTCCAGTTTCTTATTGGCCAGTGATTGGATCATCATATTCTTGGTATCTGGATCGGAATTTTCTGGTATGCACGCACGGCAGCTAACGGTTAGCAGGACCCGGATCCTGCTAATCGTTAGCTGCCGTGTGAGAACATGGCCTACTTTTGTTTATTTTAATGAACATTGGCACTTCTATTTGTTATGCGTACAATCGCAGAGAGCGCTATCTGTGTTTACAAGATCTTTAGTGCTACTAAAACTCAGCCTGATTTCTATGTTAGTGAATTTAAGATTCAGAAACTAACTTTTTTTAAACCACAAAACCGAACACAAAAATAGCAGTTGGTTTTACTTTCATAATTTAATATTAATGTGTCAAAATGATGACCAACTTGCTTAAAGATAGTAACTAATGTGATTTACTGCAAATCTGCATTGAACCTAACTGAAGCTGGCTTGAAATGCTTAAAACATGGAAAACTTACATAATCTTTAACAACCTTTTACATACAGTATAATCCCTTTATTTTTTATTTTATACAGAAAATAATAAGCAGTGCTTGAAATAATATTAAGGATAGATGGCTTGCATGAATGATAACATCAACAACTATTACAATATGATCAAACATTAAACCAAACAAAACCCTGAGAGCACCTACAGAGATCACAAAAATCAGAAGTGATGTTGTTGGTCTATCAGTGAGATCCTTACTTGGATGAACCAATAAGCCAGATTCATAATGGAACTTAAACACGAAAAAATAATAGAATTGTTGAACCCAGGCATAAATAACGCATCAACGTTATGTAACAAGCCTCAAAATTTCCTGGAGATCAAAATCGATTTTAAGAGGAGGCGGCAGGAGGGCCCACCTACAGAAAGCATATTAAGGTAAGATTGCACTTTCAAATGTATATTATTTGTGATTCTGGGTAAAAGCTCAATACTTAATTTTTTTAGCATAAGCTGGATTAGCTTGTTCCTTTATAACCATAGTTTTAAAAAAAATTAATTTCAATACTTACGACTTTATTGCATCGCAATTATAATATGCGAAGCTGGTTGTTAAAAATTTCATTCTTGTTTCTGAAGAGAATATAGCCAGTTCAATATCAACATGATCTGAAAATTTTCAAGAAAACATATACAGTAATGAGGTTATAGAATATGTGAAATAGTTTCTAACATAAATGTGATTAATTTTTATATATAATTAATAATAACAACAGCATTTTAAAAATTAGTGTTTGCTTTAACCCCAAACAAGGAACTGGAACTCGTTTCTAGGCAATGGTATATATTTTAATATTATTTTTTATAAGCCATGAAACATTATTTCAATAAACATTTGTCATAATCCAATTACCAATCTCTCTTTTTTAAACTACTGTATATTTAATCAAAATTAAATATGAGACTATGCATCTTTACCATGCTTGGAGAGTAGAGTTGTTTAGTTTATGAAACAAATCCTGACATTTTTTCATCAGGATCGAACAATATCTTCAAGCAAGCATTTAAATCACCAAGCCACATCTCCTCACCCAGGGCCAGATAGCTAAACTGATACCAACAACCAAAAATTATACAAAGAAAACATAATTATGCCATAAATGGAGAGGATTGCTAAATCATGATAAAGAGTCATACCCAACTTGGGACACTTTATATTATTTACACATTTAAATAGTAATTTACCATTTCCTTCTGGTATGTTTGGTATATGGTCAACAGGGGGTGATGTACAATTGTTGCTTGCTCCAAGAGTTGAGTTGTAAGCACCATTGTTAAAATTACATTCATAATATGAGTTTGCAGAAACAGGAGGAAGTTCTTGAATGTTCAAAGTAAGCTGTGAAATCAATCATTTTTTTACATTACTTCTGTTATCTACAGTACTGCAAAAACATGATGATAATCATCTTGTTTGTTATAAACTGTGCCTTATGGTGTGTGGCCAAAATATAATAAGAGGTTAGAGGTTAAAGGTTATGCATTTGTAAAATAACAGGGTCTCTATGCGTAAAACAAGTGAACAGATGTAATTGGAAAAGAAATACAGAACCCCAAGCCAAACCAGTATGGGGATACGCCCTCCTCGCTGAGCAGGGATCTATCAAATCAGTTGAATCGCTTGGCCTCTTGTAGCACAACAAATATCTGTGTTTTCTAGGTAATTTTTCCATACAAATTTTCAAAACTGTGGTTACATAATAGGGGTCTTGGAATTGGAGGGATCTCAAATTAGAAAGCAAACAGTATTATATGACAATTTTCACCAGAAAGGTATTGCAGAATGGAAGGCTAAAATGTAGAAATTTTATTCCAATTATAATACAATATTATAATACAACATATTTAAATAACCAGTGTTATCTGTAGAAAATGATATGCCTAACAATTTTACTTTTTTTTATTTGCATATGAATGTGCGTGACACAGTATTCAACACACAAACAATTAATAATATGACCATTAGCAATCAAAACTATTTTTTTTAATGAGATGATGTTTTTTTTTCAATACTCAATAAATTTTAGCAAAGACTGTTTTACAGCAAAGAACTCATAGGTTGATTGTAATAAAGCTCTATGTAGAATATCAAATTTTCTTTCGCAAAAAAAATGTGCCTATATATGGTCATGATGTGATGTCATCATGAACATATTCAGGCATGCTATATGTTTTTGTCAAATAAAATTTGATAATCTGGACAGGACTAAAGCCTTGTCCGAAATATCAAATTTCATTTGACAAAAACATGTGAAAATTCTAATTATGGTCATGATGACATCACATCATGACCATATATGGGCACATCATGACTTTGGGCATACAACACTTTTTTGATTATGGACAGAGCTTTAAACTTAGTCCACATTATCAAATTTTATGCAACAAAAAAACTGTGATATGCTTATATTTGTGTTTAATTTTAGCCCATATATGGGCACATTACTAAAATATGACAGTGTAGACAGAGCTTTAAGGCTGTCTATGTGACTAATCTTAAACCATTTTAAGGCAATTCTCCACAGGTCTTGTATTGTAATGGTAACCTACCATTTGTTCACCTTGGTTATACAAAAGTGATGGTGGTTCAACTGACTGTATTGATGCACAGGCTGCATTATTGTATGGAAGCCAAGTGCTTGCACAATCTGGTTGACGACTACACCTAAAATCAAATACGCAAGAAAGCAAATTACCCCTCAAATGAAGACATTTTTTCAGGTAATGTAATGGCTTTCTCAGGTCAATATTTTCTAATAGTGGCCTCAAAAATTTATTACTGTATAATGGCTATATAGAATTCTCCATCCCAGTGCGCATAATATCTGTATTTCCTCATTATATTTTCATTCAGTGCCACAGTCGGTTTACCTACGTAAGTATTTATGACATGCTCTAATTATTAATGGCATACTGTACTGTAATTATTTATTCATCTTCAGGGCAGCTAGTGCCTACTACATGATTCTTTGTATTGCACTGCTGCAATCTTTCACATGAATAAATAACAATAATAATAATACAATACAACAATAGCAATAATAATCTATGAATTAATTTCTTACTTTTTTTCTAACGTGCACCAGCCACAGTAGGGGTCACCATCCTCAGCAGTTGACCCAATGCATTTATCACAAGTCGTGTACTGAGTACAGTTCTCAACACGTAATTGCAAGACCTCAATTAAATTGAATAAAAATATCTTCTTTTTTTTAAAATCTAAATTTAAAATCATATTTAGTACAAATTACCAAATATAAATTTTACAGTTGTTCCTATGCGATTCTAAATTATGCACTTGCTGATGACTAATACTAATTGTCTGTGATTTTGATGCATGTAAATATATACATGGATTCATGTCTTATAGATGTTATTGAGTTAATGCTATCCAGCATATGGCAGCAACTTAATTGTCATTAGTGCAACAATAAAATAAGTTATATTACAATCAATAATAACCTAGTTTTATAGATACTATTGAGTTATATTACATAGCCTATGTAAATACGAGTACGTGATTGGTCGAAATGCCATCATGTGACTAGCGCTATGAGGATCGAAAACGTTATATTTCCCCGTAGGGAAATATAACTTTGAAAAGTGACCGGTCTCTGACGTTACCGGATTACACACGCATTGCGCCCCTAGTGAATTGCTAGTCGAGCGCACGATCGATCGCTCATGAATTGTGAATGTGGAAAGACGTGTTACGTTTTTCGGTCATTCTACGCTTAGGTAAGGAGAGCAAACGGTGAATTTTAGGCTAAACGATCTATGTTTGGCTATGTAATATACAGATATTGCCTTTTCTATCGGTGTAATATTAACATTTGGTATCCCCTTGGGAATTATATTTTTTCTCAGGACTATATTTTCCCTCAGCGCTATGCGCTTCGGGAAAATATAACCCTTCGAAAAAATATAATTCCCTCGGGGATATCAAATGTTATATTACACCAGGCAATATCTGTATAATGTTCAGCATATGGCATCAAACACAATTTTTATTAGTGCTACAATAAAATATTACAATCAATAATAATCTAGTTATTATAGAATGGTGTTTATATTGAAAATTATGTAGAAATATGTAGTACACAAGACCTTTAAGCAGTGCAATATATTAAGCAAAATATCTTTATCATTAAAATTTCATTATCATTATAAAATATGTTGAGAAAAATCCTGGGATTATATTCTTGATCAGACACATCATTTCCTAACTAAATTGTACATAAATTACAAACTTTTGCAAATAACTCTAACTTTTTACCATACCAACTGTTATACAGTACAGTAAAGCAAAGCGATTCCATTAACAAAGGTTACAAAGAAAAAGGAAAGACACAACATATATTTTTATAAAAAAAATTTTATTATAATTTAGTGATTTTCTTTATCATTGTCACCTTATTTTCTGTGAGGATTGTAAGATATCTATGATCATCACTGACCAACAAATCTGACCGCACACTATTGCTGTCCACTGTAAAGTTTTCATACACACGAGATGTCTCTTTGCTAATAATATGTGCCTATATTGAAAGATATTTAATATTAATACTAATAGATAAAACATGTATTCACTAGCAACATAATCAACATAGGAAATAGAACATTTGAGGTGCAGTAAGACATTTTTATAGGTAAATATATTTTTGAAATTTCTTTTTAAGCAGAGCAGAAAATAAAAATGTAATTATATTTCACAAAAATTGTCTGCAAAAAGCACTTAAGGAAGAAAACATGTTCTTATTGGAAAACAAAAATGTGCATGCATAATAATACGTCAAAAATTAATTAAGGACGGAGTTGAGGCCAGTTATCAATATCCTAGACGTAGTCTTCTAAGGTATGCAGTTCATTATCATTATTATTTAATGAACCGTTCTGGAGAGTCAATCAAACTGAGTAACCGAACAATCAGAACAGAGCCAAGAACAGGCATGTGTCTCAAAACACATGTTGTCCACAAATGCATGTGTTGGCATTGTGTTTTTGGGGACCTTAGCTAAAATATTTATGGGGCAGAAAGGTGTATGGTCTCATGCAAAAACCTGATTCATTGCTACATGCTTACTATAGAACTGATCACAATCTGACTACGGTAGTCAAGAAAACATGTCCATTACATCTAACTCTTCTCAGAGAGATCAGTTACCTTACAACAGACCCACAAACTTCATTTTACCTTGATTAACTTTCCCCCATCAGTTCCAAGGAATGCTATTGTATGGTTCTGCTCCACTACTGCAGTAATGGCTGTTAGGTTGTGGTTGGAGAGCTCTAAGACAGGCTGAGATGAGGCAGCCTCTGTTTTGAGGCCTTGAAAATATTTATAGTTTACATCAGTAATTTCACACATAAACCTTTCTATCTGAGTTGCTGTAAGACCACTCAGCTGAAAAATGATATAAAACGGTATTAGAATTACTATATATTGTGTACTGATTTATGTTTTGTATTAAATGTCTAAAATAATTATTTTTGCACCTTCTATCCCTCCTACACTGTATTATCATTATTTTGGTAAAAAACAATTAATATTTTAATTGGATTGAACAGCAATTTTATCGATATGAAACATATCAAATTTAAAGACCTATTTCCAGTGGGGTCCTCCTGGTAATAAATTGGGCAATCTCCTGCTCTTTCGAAAGTTTATCTTTAACATACACATGAGAAATTGCAAACAGTTCAAGTCTACCGTGCACTTTAGCTCTCTAGCTGAACAAGAGCAGCAACAGAATTGAAGAATCCCGTCAAAAGTCTGAAGAAAGGGATCCCCATGGTTCAGTGCACAAACATGACTACCACAAATTTAGCCAAATGAGATACAATATGCTGCTCTCACAGAATTACAGGCAAAAGTACTGTGATAAAGATTCCAGGGGGGTTAGGGATATTCTTCATCCTACCAAGAGATGAGTTAGTCATTTTACATACTGTAGATCTCACTGGGTCAATTCACAGAAACATAATCATACACTTTTAAAATGTTTTTTATGATTTTTTTTTCATTTAAATGTCAGTTTAGTCAGTCAAAAGATGATCCACATATTATATAGGCCAAACTGTGTTTAAAACTATGAGCCTATATTAACCCCTTTTTTTTTTTTACAGATTTCCAATTCAGAAATTAATTAAATTAGTCATTTAAGCTATAGAATATGTGAACTCTGGGGGATTCGTGCCCTGCCTCCCCTCCCCATTGAGGCTTTGCCGCTGGACCCCACTGGCAGCTCTGGGAATCCCCCACCCTTAATAATGGGTCAATTCAAGCTATTGTTCCCCTGTAAAAATATACACCACCACTGTGCACACTGCAAGTGCTTCAATCAATCAATCAATTCAATCATTCTATATGGGACCATTCCTACTGATATTGTCATTGCTACAATAGTGGTTCCTTAATATTACCATAATGTATCTTTACCACCAAGACACATATTGCACTAATACTATAATAGGCAGACAAGGCAGATGATAGAGAATATCAAACAAATACTTACGCTATATAGACAGATACTGTCTACATATTCCAGTTTATTGTTCGAAACTGGCATTGAAAGACATCCCTCTAATGCTCTAGAAAATGCAAGATCAATATCACTCCATTTAAAAATACATAGAGCAGAATCAGCAATAGAAGGACTATTTAAGAAGACTCCATAAAGAACAACAGCTTCTGGCTGGAGACCTAGAGAATCAGCGAAATCATGTCCTACAGGACCAACAAACATATCTTGAACGTATTCATATCCATTACATGAAAGATGAATTTCAGAAAATGTGGACATACCCGTCCATCTTTGACAAATGCGACTGAGTCTTGATGTAGTAACGGTTGAAGGTGGGTCTGCTCTATTTGATACAAAGTAACTAAAGCTATTATGTGAGAATCCAGTTGTGTATTGGATATCATAACCTGGTTTTAATTGTATAGAATCATCTGTTCCAATACCAAGATCATTTAACCTGCTTCGTGACACAAAACGGAATGATAGGTCACCGTCACCATCATCACTTGAAGCAATATACAAAGTATCACTCCCACTAGAGGATGGTGCTATGAACCCAACAGCAGATAAATAATCAAAACCAACTACTTGGCTTGTAGATGACTCAATTAGCTTTGTATCATTCAAATTACGACTTTCACATTTTCCACTGTTGCCTCCTCCACATGTTATCAATCGATCATTATCATAATCAATAACAAGAACCTTGTTGATGTTAATGCAACCCTCTATGTCACAAGTCGAATAGTTATGGAATAATGCAAAGTCTTTAGACAGTTTGAACAATTCATTGTAACCGCCTACGTAGATATCACCAGATGTATCATGGATTGCAATATGATACAGATTAACTCCGGAGTCTGGCATGAACTCATGCAGTAGGTAATCTGACAAAGTACCACTGTGTATGCAAGTTAACTGCAACCACAAAATAAATGCTCCAAGCTTTTGAAGACTCAATAGCCTATAAGTTCTATTCTTTTGCATTATGTTGTTCCCGCATTCACTACAATTCTGGAAACTAGTCTTGATTTACCATTTTTGCTTTAAAAATTTCACTTGATTAAATCTGAAAAAGAAAGGATTAAATATTTACAGTATTGTTCAAAGATTTGACAATCAGGAAGAAACTTTTAACTGAGTATTTTAAAAATTTTCAACATTTTTAAAAATTGTTACATTCAATTATTCTGTACATTTCAATTTTTCCTTAAATTTAAATCTTGAATCTGGCCTAAAGTTCTTTTTTTTATCTAATAATCTGTACAAAGTAGTACTGTTTTAAAAACAATGGTCGATTTATGGATACAAAAATCATGCAAAATAGGCCTCTAGGGTAGGCACGCTACAATGCGTGATGTCACTCACTAATTAATAAGTCAATTAACTGCGACCCGTGTGTGTTTAAATGTTAACAAAATGCTTTATAAATGAATTCATAAAAAAGCCTTTTGATTGGTTGAAAAATTTTTCAGATCAGTCTCACTAAGGGGTCGAAGTTGTTCACCATTTTAAAATTTCCCGAGATCTGTTTCCATATTTTGATATTTTAAAATTTTACAAATTACAGTAACATAAAATATATTGTTTTTTTTTTTTTTTCAGAGAATTGCAAATAACATTTTTTAATTTGTTACCATTACAAGTTACTGTAGTTTATGTATCCAAGAATTTATTTGCCAAATATGAATGTACTACGATGCGTAGCAATAGTATTTTTTCCTCCCCAACCTGACTATGAGCTATGGATTGGCTGTGCGCACAAGGTGTCGCGAGGCGATCTAAACAGCAATATTTTTTATGTAAATAAAGTAATTTGTGTTTGAAAAGTTAACTAGATGTTCCTTAAAGTGTTTAAATATACTTTCAGCTAATCATTATCTAAAAAAATAATAATATAAAAATTCATTATATAGGATTAAAGTGGATATTAAAAACAGGAATTTCAGGAGAACTGCTAGATGACATTGCATAACTGCAAAAGCAAAACAGTATGACAGATATTTACATGCAACTTGATATTCACTCGCTCAGATACTTCAAATGTTCAGAAAACCACAACCATTTCCACGATTTTGCTCATATAAAGTTTTTTATGTTATTTTTTGGTTTTTCTTATATACAAATTCAGGGGCGGATCCAGAAATGTCCAAAAGGGGGGGGGATGTATATCATATAAATAAAATTATAAACTTGTTATCCCCTCTCAATTAATACTATAGTATTAATAAAACTTTTAACTAGTATCTGCGTGTGGTTGTATTTGGTCTCCGACACTTCTCCTTTTCACATCCTCATCTGTTAGGCCTACCTGAGTTAGGCCTAGACTACAGCCTAGGCTTTCGTTGGAGTATTCTTGGCCGCGAGTCCTACCCAGCCCTAGGGCCTACCAACTTGGCCTACCCTAGGGCCTAGGACCTAGGCCTAGGGCCTAGGCCTAGTTCCTAGAATTAAACTACAACAGTATACGATTTCAATGTTAGCCAAAGATATCGTATCATTTCACATATTATTATTAACAAAGGGTCCTTTTTACAAAAGTGAGGATGTAAATATAGGGACCAGGCTACGCCTAGCCTAGGCCTAGTTCTTAGGCTTACCAGTTATCGCTCCTGTTTCAAAATACTCATGTATGTGTATAATAATCACATCATAATTATTATAATCACATAATAATTATTATGATGTGATGTAAAGCGTGAAGTTCAATCGTCCGGAAAGTTGTTTTAAAGTTACTTCCGCCTAGTCGTTAGTGTCCAGACGCATTTGGCGTAGAGGGCACACAGACTTTTAACGACACGCTCAGACTCAGAAAGACGCACCACATAAACTTTTCTTTAGAGCCGGGTCTAGAGGACAGCTCACGGAAATTGGGTGGGGGATGGCGTTAGGGGTGTAAGAGGGCGTAGGACAACCCCCCCCCCCTCTATTTTTTGTAAAAGAATTTGTTTTGTAAAGCTTATAAGAAAATCACTATGCTAGTGAATAAATAAGATTTTCCCCTTGCATCCCTTTACTAAAGTGGTTCTTCCCTGAGACTCTTCTGTTACTTAACACCATGCTATTTATGAAAACCAGGCTTTACGCATCCTTTCTACAGACTGGAATTGGAACCATGTTTAAACTTTAGGCCTATTTTGGCAGACAAACAAAATATCATAATTCAATCTAGTTACCGGGACAGTAATCTTCGGACAAATAAGCCTACGTGCCTTACCTGCAGTGATTAACCTTAAAACAAATTGTACACGACGTATTTACTAGTTAAAAAAAGACCAAGAGGAAGGAAAAGAATAATGCTGCTTGATGATATCCGGAATGGAAGGATTAGCTATAGTTGAAGAGGGATGCAAAAGGACCGAGAATATTGGAAGAACCAAAAAATATATAGGGGCCTATCTAGGCTTAACTTTATTCTTTGGAGAACTTATTTAGGAACCTGCCAGCAGAACACTATGGATGAAAATGTTAAACATTCATATAGGCCTATACAATATTCTGCAATTTTTGAGAGGGCCTCTTCAAGTCAGCTGTACTACTGTAGTGCAGCTGTTAGAGCTACCCTCGTGAAATAAAGTTGAAATAAAATAAAAAATAAAAAAGAGTGTTTCTTCACCCGGCCTTTTTGCTGAATTTTAAAAATTGCAGAATTCGTCGTTTTCCCTATAGGCCTAAATACAGTATTATATTTTGTTTCGCACTGACTTTTGAAAAAGATAAAATTTGATTTGCGTTATAAAATAGTTTGACTGCTATATACGGTGCAAATAAGTACGGTATATACTCTATGTAAAAGCAAAGAAAATATACTTGGAGCCTCAAGGCAGTATATTCTCGGTTCCATTATTTTTTATCTTATGGAATATTAATTATGTCAGTGCCTCTAAATTAAGAGTGCAGGTGATATTGTAGTATAGGCTTATACTTTATTATTCTCAACATTATTTATTATTACACTAAACAAATTATTCCATTTTCATGATTAAATTATATTATACTAATAATAAAATCCATCATCACATCACCTGACGCAATTATATTCAAAGTGAAACGCCAATTTCATGATCTTTTATCAGCGATTTTCGGCAACCATAAAGGTTTAATTAATATCTGTGATGTACCATAGTAGAAAATAAACCTTCATTTCCAGTCATCTAGAGGTGCCATAATCATTTGCTTACACTCCGCCACTGAAAACGAAGCACTTCTTTCAATGAATATCCTGAAAACGTCAATCAGTATATCTCCATAGTTATAGAATTTTCATTCTTTCAAATTCAAATTTCCGCCAAGCATGGGAGCAGATCATAGAGGGGACGGAAGACACGTCCCCCACATATCTGCAATGCAATTTCAAAAGTGAAGAAGATTCGTGAAAAGAGCACCTGAAGAAGGTAAATTGAAGTAAAAATCACAAAAAACGGCGGCGAAACATTTTTGAAAGTGTGAATGAGGAACCATTTCATCAGGTAAGAAGTCAAGTATACGAGCGAAGCGAGCATCAAGGCAGAGGGCCAGGGAGCCGCCGATGGCCCCTGGTGAGAATCCAGGGGGAGAATTCCCTTGGAAACTCCGGCCTTTGACGAAGTTTCGTGAATTGAATTAGTTATTTTATAGTCATCCAGCTACTGTAATATGACTTCATATGTTGTATTTTCCGAACAAAGTCGAGGTCGAGATTGCTCCACGATCACAATTAATTATTCTTCATGTGAGGCGAATCCTTGATTGATATGGTAGGCCTATTTCCCGGCGAGGCGGGTGTCTATGAAACGAACACCATTGAAAATTCTTCAAAAAGACGTCTAAAAAATTTCGTAATTTTGATTTTGTGACAGCCTGGTGTATTATCATCAACATGAAAGAGAACAAAAAATGGGTCTTCGTTATATTTTCGGGTCTTCGGTATTCGTTTTATAGACACCCCCGATGAAGCCTTCTTTATAGCATGGCCGGCGGAAGCGGGGGGGGGGGCGGGGGGCCCTCGTGGACAATGAGATTTCCCGACTTCTGAAGTATTTTTTAATGACTTTAATTTAAAAGACACCTCAGAAGTCGGGAAAGCTCATTTCCCGCCTTCTAGGAATCAAAATTTTCCTGGGGAAGAACCCCCGAACCCTCCTTTCTTTTCGGGATTCATCTCATGGAAAAAATCGTATGCAACTACTCAGTTTTTTTTAAATGTATGTATACACACATAACAGGCCTATTTACTGTAATGAGAAAGTTTACCTTACCTTTTTCACGAGGGGGAAAACCTTGAATTTTGAAGAACAAAGTCATTAGACACCTAGCTCAAAAGTCGAGAAAGGTCATTTCCCGCCATCTAGAAATCAAAATTTTCCCGGGGGAGGAATGTTGACCCCACCACCTAGATTTGATTCCAGATTTGCATGATTCATATTCCCATTCATCTTATAAGCAGTGGCGTAACAGGGGGGGGGGGCAGGGGACAGACTGTCCCCCCCTGACGGTTTTTACCGGGCTGACCAAGCCGTCGTACCGGGCTGGGTAAGAAGAGAAAAGAAAGAGGGGAGAGGGAGGGAAAGAGAAAGAAGGGGAAAGAAGAATAAAGGAAAAAGGAAAAGGAAAAGAGAAAAATAAAGGCAAGAATAAAAAGGAAGATATAATGAACAGATATCACAATACCCCGGCCTGCAACCCCTTCTCCACTTCAGAAAGTGTCCATATCGCATATGATCTAAGCCGCCAGGTATTCTCCGCAGTGGCGTAACCACCGGGGGACAGGGGGAAAATATCCATCTATGGAAAATCTTTCCCTATTGAATGCCCTTTTCACCCGGGAAAGTGCCTGAAAATCTCAAATTTTAAAACGCATATCTTGTTGAGGTCGGACAATTTCCTCTAAAAATTGTACAGTTTAGGGAGTTTTGATCAATTCCGACGAAATTAGAATTTAGAACAAAAACATTTTTCGCGCGCTTCGGGCGCATTTTTTAATGTTAAAGCTTGTGTTTGCTCTCCCTTGCCTTCTAAGTTATAACACATAGTCCCAAACTCAAAGAAAGAAAATTTAAGATCGTTTTACCTAAAAGAAGGGCCTCAATGTGTAATGATGTTGAAAGAATAGGCCTATGATTGTAATAAATACTAACCACGATGAAAATGCTTATATTTAGCTTCAAACACACGTGTGTGGCTTATATTAATAATAAAATAAGCCCTATGTCGTATTGTTTTATATATATGGTGGGTGGAGGGGGGTATCACCCAAGACCCCTGTTACACGCCTGCTTATAAGTGGGCCCCCCCACTTTGAAAAACGTTCCGCCGGCCCTGTATAGTCCCCCAACGGATAAATATTACCCTTTTAGGAGCTCGGAAATGGTACTTCAACCAGTGGCGTATCTAGTGGGGTGTGCATGCCTCTCCAAAAATTACTCGCGCCCCTCCCAAAAAAATCACTTGCAAGTAGTTAAAAATCACCTTTAAAAAAATCACCTTATTTTGCGAGTTAGCGCCCCTCAACTGATCATCGAGCCTCCCCCACCCCACTTCACCTTCACGTCACCCTTCATCACTATTATTTTATAAATAATTTTGAAAAAAATAGGCTAGGAGAGATAACATTTGACTTAGCCTATAATCTTCTTTTACAAATAACTAATTCGTCAACAAAAAAGTTATTTTTTTAAATTGAATGAATGGCCTTAATATTAGATAGAATTTAAATGTTGTTATATTACGTTAGTTTGATGGTTTACTGTAAGCCAATCAGTTACACTTACATCTACTACTACCTTTATCTTTAACATAAACAGAACTACCGGTATAGAGCGTCGCACCATTAGTGCCTGCATCTGCCCTGTGCCAAATACAGAATTTACGCAAAGCGGACGAGCGATTCCATTGCTTTCTTCATGCTCAAGGACATAGGCGTAGATCACGGGGGGATGGGGGATATATCCCCCAATATTTGACAAGGGGTGGGGGGATGGTCCATTGTATCATCCACCCAATAATTTGGCTATGTATGGGATAAAATGGAGCTTTACACACTTCAAAAGGCTGTCACAGAAATAATTTGCAATGTCTTATGTGCTTACAAAGATGAAAATTAGCATAATGTATTAATGTTGATAACAAAATTATTTTATCTGGTACCAATCTAAGCTCTTCTTTCCTTAGATGTTAGATGTACTTGCAAAGAGAGCCACATTTCACACTGAAGGGTGTGTACGACATCAGTAATGTTATGTCAATTCCAAAAATGTTTAAGGTTATATCGGTTGATGAGGAATTTATTGATTAGGCCTATAATACCAAATTGATTTATTTTGCAAAAACAAGGTTTTCAGCTTCAGAGGTGGGGGGCACATCCCCTGTCCACACAAGGGCACACATTGCCACTAACACCAGGCGCGTAACAGGGGTCTTGGCTCAGAGTGGGTATTTATTTTCCCGGTTAGTAATTTACCATATTCACCCTACCCAACTCCCCATATAGAAAACAATACGACATAGGGCTTATCTTATTTATAATATAGGCCACACACGTGTGTTTGAAACTAAATTATAAGCATTTTCATCATGGTTTATATTTATTACAAACATTATATTCTTTCACCATCAATACACATTGAGGCCCTTCTTTTCGGTTAAAACGACCTATCTTAAATTTGTCTTTCTTGAGTTTGGGACTATTATGTGTTTGAATAACTTCAAAGGATAAACTTTAAAAAGCCCTACAAAATTCGCGCGAAGCGCGCAAAATATTTTTGTGTTTTTAATTCTAAT